TGACCACCCCTCCAGTCTGTATCTGGCCAGTTCATCCAGGAGGTGGCTGTGGGAAGCAGGGTTGAATGCTTTGCTGAAGTCCAGGTAAACAACATCCACTGCTCTCCCTAGGTAAACAGAAAATGTTATTTTTGTTGTAGAAGGTGACCAGGTTAGTCTGGCATGGTTTGCCTTTGGTAAATCTGTGCTGGCTTTTCCCAATCACCTGCTTCATTTGGTTTGTGATCGTTTCCAGGAAGACTCGCTCTGCTACTTTCCCAGGGACTGGAGTAAGACTAATGGGCCTGCAGTTTCCTGGGTCCTCTTTTGGGCCCTTCTTGTGGATAGCTCCGATATTTGCGGCTGGGTCCTCTTTTGGGCCCTTCTTGTGGATAGCTCTGATATTTGCCTCTTCCAGCTGCCAGGGGCATCCCCTCATCCCCACCACTTTTCAAAGATTACAGCCAGCCGCCATGCACAAATGTCAGCCACTGCTCTTAACACCTTGGGGCGGATTCCCTCCTCACTGCCGACAACAGTGTTTTCACCCTTTCTCATGCATTACCTCCATTTTTTATTCCTCACTCGTAGTCACCCATTTAAAAGCCACACGCCTTGGTGTTCCATGCCCCACACACCAGAGGCAGCGAGCGAGGGAGCTCTGCTCCAGCTGTGCAGCACTGGGTGCTGTCTGGGACAAAGCCTCCGCCCGTGGCCAGCAGCAGGGTCCCCGCACCCCGTATGTGGGCCTGAGCCGAACGCTGGCGGCGGGGGCCGGTCTCCAGCCCCCCAACTCCTACAGCGAGACCGCGCACCTCTCAGCGCCCCTAAAATGGCGCCCTGAGGGGCAGACTACATTTCCCAGCGTGCCGAGCGCCCCGCGCGCCGTTTTTTCGTTCCCGGCATGCTACGCGCTGCCGGCCGCTCAGTGCCGCCGGGCGGAGGAGCCGGTCTGCTGGGAGTTGTAGTCTGCGCGCCCTTTGGCGGCGTACCTGGCCTCTGCCAGCCGGTGGGTGTGCGGGCCTGGGGCGGCGGGGAAGCGGCTGGGCCGGGGCTGAGCCCAGGGCGGGCTGTAGTGGAGCCCCCGGGGTGCGGGGAGGGACCGCGGCCTGCGGCCTGGCCCCTGAGCCCCAGTGGGGTGCGGTAGTGCTGGGCCCCTGTGGGGTGGCGGGTGGTCCTTGAGGACGGCGGGGGACCCCAGCCTGCGGGGTGGGGGCCGGGACCTCAGTGGAGTTTGGGACGGGGCAGCCTGGTGCCTGGGAGAGGAGCGGAGCAAGGAGTGAACTTTTTACAGGGTGGTGAGGCAAGAAGGTCTCTGAGTGCTGCGTGAGGCAGGGTGTAGGTGGAGTGAGGCCAGCTCCTGGGAGATGTGGTGGGAGCCAGGTCCTCGCTTTTATCAGAAGGTCCTTGACCTTTCTGAAAGCAGGAACTGTACTCGGCCCTTTGGGGTTCAGTATGTATCTGCTACATGCTATGAGATGCCCCCAAACAGGAAGGTGATCAGGAAAGATAGGGTGTTATCCCATCTTTGCTGCTAGGTACCAGAAGTATGAAACACTTCCATACAAGACTGCAGAAATGTATTGCTTTGCCTGCATTTGCCTTTGCAGGGCTGACTCTGCAGTGCAGGGTGTGCTTGTGCTTGGCTATTTTATCAGTTTTGCTGGGATTTGCAGAGAAGAGTGCATAGAACTGTAGTGGAATAGGGGTCTTCTCCTTTTTCCATATGTTTTATCTATGTGGGACTGGCATGCACAGCTCCAGCAGTGGTTGTCAGCATCTGCTTGCTGATAATGGCTCAGCATTAGTCTGACAGCTTTGCTCTACTGCTAGGTTTTTGTGTAGGATCAGTTACAGTAATATTGAGTCACTAATAATACTGAGTTATCAATACCATAAGTATTTTTAGAGGGAACAGAGTTGAAATTTCCGGTCTTTTTTTGCTGTTTGGTTTTGGTTTTTTTGTAGACTGGCTTCCATTCCTGTAAAGAAGCAAGTGCCTCCGTGTTTAATTCCCAATGCAGTTTTGATTCAGATTTATTGTTTGAATTGCTGAAGATGTCATCAGGCCTTACAGAGGAACAAAAGAGAAGAATTGAAGAGAACCGCCAGAAGGCTTTGGCTAGGAGAGCAGAGAGACTAGCAGCCCAGAGCGGTGGGCAAGTGGAGAGCGCTGGCCCTCAGGTGAAAGAACAGAGTCCAGGCCATTGGGGAGACTTGAAGGAAAAAACCAATCATCTCAGGTTCATTAGCCAGCAGCAGCGGAATCCAAACAGTCCTGTGGAGCAGAAGAGCTATCTTCAGAAAGATTATAATCATTACACTGCAAACCAACAGATGGTTGGTTCACATGGAGAGCAACAAAAGAATTGTTCAGAGGACTCTGGACAAGCAAGTGGCATTAAGCAGTTCCCTACAACGATCCCAAATTCTCTAAGTTATTCCCATAAACATTACTCGGATGCTGCTGGTCAGAAACACGGACAACAAGCTTTAATTAATCTTGGTACATTCCAGCAGCCCAAATGCTACCCAGCTTTCAAAAACCCTACAGAACCATCTCATCCTAGATTAATTGATAATGGGCGCCCTGATGGTAGTAAAGATTTACAAAGTCAGAACAAATCTGCCATAAAATTTGTTTCACCACTGAGCAGTGCCACCCCGAGTGATTCAGAAATGTTGATAAACATAAGCAGACCAATGGAAAGAGAAGGGGGAGGTGGTGCCTCTCAGGCCAGTGGTAGGATGCAGAAGCTGACCAGCTCTGCTGGTGCAGGCTCTGCCTTTGAAGCTGCTTCTTGCAAGAAAGCAAATAGTGTTACAAAAGGAAAATGTGTGAAATATGGGGAAGACCGATTCCAGGTCGAAACAGGGTATAATGCTGAACTCATTGCTGTGTTTAAGAAGATGCCAAGCAAAAGCTATGGTAAGAATGGATTGTTTGCTGGTTTATGTTGGATTGAAGTTTCACCACCTGCTGAAACTGTAGTTGCTATATGTTCTTAGCAGTGCAGCTATTGCTGGGGTGGAATATGTGGTATTAATGGGGGACTGGAAAAGTAAAGACAGCTGAAATTGGAAAGAAATTCTGGGCATAAATAGCTTAAGCTTGGATTTAGCCAAGAAATCAGAAGCCTTGCTTTATGAACAGTGCTCTAAGAAGTTTAGTGACAGCAGCTGGTCAGAGTCTTTTGGGAGTGAGGAAGAGAAGTTATTCATAAATTGGTATGGGAAAATGGGTCACTTCAGCTGTAGTTCGGAGTTGATGAGCTGATTCTGTTAACTGGGTTACTGAGAGCAGTGGAGCCTCCACCTTTTTGGCTTGCTTCTGATCTGTTCTCCCTGCCTTTATTTGTTATATTCTACTCCCCCCCCCGCCTCCCCCCTGTGTCGCCGCTCCCTGTGAATGGCTGCTGCATTCTTCTTGTCTTAGCATTGATATGCCCCATGGCTTTTCTGATGTCATGTAGTTGTAAACTTGGGCATACTGTTTTTCAGATGTGTGTCAGAAAGTTTGCATTAGTAGATTGAATTTTCTCTTACCTCGCGTGAACATTTCACAGCACCACTTTTTTAAACCCCAAATGATTCATATTCTGCCCTATTTTAGATCCCACTATTAAGAAGTGGAATTTCAGTCTGGATGATTACAGCAGTTTCAGTAAGTAAATGGGTTGTTGAATGATAAAAAAGAATCCAAATCTTGACCCCCTTCCCCTGCCTTCCATAATTATTATTTAGCTTTGTTATTGTCTGGAGTAATAAAATTAATGCTACTCAAACATAACGCCCATCTTTTAGGCATCTAGCTCATAACGTTTTCCTGACACTTTGTAGTTGATTAGAAATAACTTAATTTTTCACATAATCTAAATACCAAGCATAGGTTTAACTTTTTCTGCTGTTGCTGAATTTTTCAGCAACCAACAAGCCTGATCATAGGAAAAATACCTGCTGTGCAGGTACTTCATATGAATCTGTATTGAGAACTGAGTGTGTTCCACTGGCTAATGCTTAATTTCTAGGTCCGTTCATGTATTTTCTTTTTAAACAGCTCTTTGTTTGTTTGTTTGTTTGTTTTTCCTTACATTTATTTCCTGTTAATTTTGCATGTCAGAAAAGGAAAAAGGTTAATTCTCTAGGGCTTTGAGTGAGACTGAAAATGGATTTGCCTTTTTTTGGCATAACAAGGGTGGTTTTATCTTTTTTTTTTTCTCTCCTGTCATTTTGTTCTGGAAAGATTGAGAGATGATAGAGGCAAACATTTCAGGTAAGCTTTTCAAAAGCACATTGTATTGAAGCAAGTGATAAATCACTATTGATTTCAGTGGGAACAGAATTAGGCCTGTGTTGAGCACTTTGAAAAACCCACAGTTGAGTGCTGGTATTTTAGCTTCCTATGTGGGTTGCCACACATTTATAATTTAAATGCTGCTGGTTTGCTTGAAGTGTATCAAGTACAGATGAGAGCAGAGTCTCTGCACCAAGGAGCTTGCAAATGAAGAAGATGGCTTTTAGAAATCAGGCTTTTTTCCTTAAAGCTTTCAAATATATGAGTTCTTTGTGGAAAGTTCCTGTTGACAGGTGAAGACAATATGTGATCAACATTGGGCAATGATATCAAGGGAAAAAAATACCCTGAGAAAAAAGAACTGACTTAAAAGGGCGTTGGTTTGAAGTCTTGTAAGTGTAAAAACAATTATTTTAGAACTTCCCACTGTTAATTTTGTTCTTCTGAATAATGTTGTCCTGTATTACATTTCTCTCTTTGTACTATAAATGAAACATGCAGTCAAGCATAGAAACAGATGTTGAAATAAGAGTAAAAGATGGGTTTTGTCCAATTTCTTTCAGTATTAGTTGTAGAGGTGAGATCTAACTATGCAATGCTAAACAGTAGCATCTAAAATCTTGTGCTTGGTACATTGGGAGAAGAAAGTCTAAATTGGTCGTATTCTAGTTCTCTACATTAAAAATTACTTCCACTTGATGCTTTTAAACTTTTTCATTGGAGTAGAAATCTCAAATGCTTGGGTTTATTCTGGAAATCACTTATTTTAAAATAAAGTTGGATGAAATCCAAATGGGTTTATTTATTAACTGGTTAGGAATAAAATGTCTGAATTTTTCTCCCTTTTCTTCCCTTTTCAAATCTTAACTACTGAACTTAAATTTTGTACATTTTTGTTGCATATCAGTAAGTTGGACTATTTAAAAAGAAGCAGAGTGGATCATGATGTGCAGCTCAATGCTCAAAGGACTGGAATCACCCACATTTACTCTAAACAGCTACTGGGTAGGGGAGGTTGCCTCTCTCTACTAATACATGGAGGCAGGATGTGCTTAGTGGTCCCCTGCTCTTGAGTCTAATGGACTCTGGAGATATTAATGAATCTTTGTGTTACTGTAGTACCTACAAGTTGGAGTCTTGGGAATTAACTTCACTATTTTGGTGCTCTAAAAATGCAAGAAAAAATTACTCTTGTTCCTTAACCATCACAGTTCAGCTATGATAATAAAGAGAACATATGGGTATAGATTGGCAGAGAGACACAGGGAAAAGTGAAATGTTTATTAGTGTAGATAGCTGTGCTCTCAGGCTAACAGCTGTAAAATGCTATGTCCCTTCTCTCCCCATGCCCTGGCATCATGACAGAGGTGGTTGCTAGTGATTAGTAAGATAGGAGTGCAGATGGCTGGGAGGAAATATGAGACTAACTGTAAGATGCAGTAGAATAAAGGGTGATAGACTTAAATTGTAACAAAGGAGATTAAGGGGTTTGGACTAGATTCCTTCCTGATATACTTCCTACCGTATTGTGAATATACAGCATTCCTCCTAGATGAGATTGCATATCAGACATTGACATGAGGCGGGAGGCAGATATTTTCGGATCCTTCTCCTTTGCTGTTTGCAGAAGCACCTTCCCATCTTTTCAGGCACATACTACTGATCACATGCCCCTGTCCCTGCAACTTTGTAAGTGAAAGTGCTGTGTGGCTGTGTGCAATTCACTGCTGAATGTGGTTCTGCAGATTGCTTGCCCTGGCTTAGTGAGCCACATTTGGGGATTGCTAACAGAGAGGGAGCCTTATGCAGTGACACTGCTGGATAGTCCTTTGTTCACCTACTGTCACATGTTCCCTCTGCCCCTGCTGTATTCTCTGTGGAAAATCCCACCAACCTGCTCTTCCAGGCCATCGCACTCTCTATTCTTTGTCCCTGTGAGTGAAAGCAGTGAGAGGATCATAATTCCTTTTAAACTTGAAGATGCATGGCTTGTTTGTCATCCTCTTGTCCCTTCTCTTCCCAAAGTATCCTGTGCATCTTTAGTTTATCTATGTTCTTTGTTATTAATTCTTTTCTCTGTATCTTATGCTTTTCTCTCTAGTGGAAGCAGCAAGTCAACTTCCATCAGTAATTCTGGCACCACTGGAAGGAGAAAATGCAGTTGGCTTGGCATCAGGCTCTCATTTCATTGGCAGTAGAGTTGATGTGAAATCCCTCTTGATGATGTGTAAGAACTGGAAGAAACCTTCAGCCCTTGTCAAAGGGAAGTGCGTGCTGATCTCTCGCTTGCGGTTTGAGGTTGATATTGGGTATTCTGCAGAAGTGATTGGAGTGTTCAAACAGATGGATTCCAGAAATTATGGTGAGTCTCTGGTTGTTTCTGCTTTATTCTAATGACATTTTGGGGGCTGCTGTTGGAGTGCTGTGAATGCTTCAGAGGAGAGAGGTTGTGAGAGTACACCCCTCTGAAAGAGCATGAGAGGTTGTGGTTTGGTGAAGATCTTGAGAGCTCTTGTAGTTCTGGTATAGTACTGTATCTGTGTTCTGCACTTTATGCCAGAACATGTCCTATTCTGGGCCTGCTAGGCAAGGTGGTGTTTTAAGACTCAGCATGATTACATTTACTGTTGAGGTGGGGTGTGCTGATAATTTGCCAGCAGTACAGAGATCATGCATAAGTTCTTGTCTTTATTATCAAATGCAGTTGGACGTTCTCATACTTCTCCTGCTTTACTGTGGTGTATAATAGCTGCAGCTGCCTAAGCAGATTGAGTTTACCAGCAACTTTACTAATGTTTTGGAGGCAAGTGGATCTGTAGAGTACTTTTTATGTTGGCATTCAGATTTCAATGGTAACTATCAGTTTTTCCCACTTGTAATGTGGGAAATGAGGCACAGAGTGATGAGGTGACCTGCGCAGTGTCGCAGCAGGTCAGTGACAGCATGGGGAACAAATCCTGAAGTTCTTGTTCTTCGGGCAGGGCCCACCTGGCTCGTTGTGTCTTCAGCTGACTCTGAATTCACTCTGTCTTCCCTGGAAGTTGTAGGTGCTACCCAGGGATAAACCTGCCAGACAAGTGTGGCATTCATGTTACATTTTGGGTATTGATGAATTGGTGAATTTCCTCTGTACTGGCCTGAGGACATTGTCTGTAGGGTATAGAGGTACAATTGAAAGTGATTGTGTTACTGACTGAAATCAGAGTTTGTTGGTTAACAAAGAGGAACCTTCACATACATTCTTCATCCCTTCTTGCAGTGAAGAGAAAGGGGCTGCCAAAATCCTTGGGCAGGTGGGTTCATTACAGTGGTTCATTAGGGGAGCTGACCTTGGCTTGCTTCGGTGATACCACTACTTCTAGATATGTGCTCATACTTTTAAGTTGTCTTCAAACTATTTGCTTAATGTGAAAGCACACAGAGAATTGATTGTTGGACAAGGTAAGAATTCTTTTAAAGCAGTTCTGAAATGTGGAGGATATGGATGGATAGCCATGTCCTTATGCACAGAGAATTCAGTCTTTTTAAAAAGAGACTTATGATAGTGTTTGTTATAACAATTGCAGATATGAACACCAGAAAGTGGAATTTCCTGCTGGAGGACTATCCCAAACTAAGTGAGTAGCTGCATTTTCCTGGCTAGGGCTATTTTCTGGGGAGGTGAATGAATCATAGCTTCATTTCTTGGGCTGAGCCTTTTCACTATGGGGAGATATGTTGCTAACGAACTGTGAAGCAGGTGTCTTCCTGTTTTGTCAGACATTTACACTGTTTGCCCAGACTCAAAACTTTATAAATGTGTGTTATTCATGGCAGTCCTTTAGGGGCCCACTGGGAGAGTGGATCTGTTTTGTCGGATTCTGCACTGAATTTCTGTGCCGTTTGTTAGAGCACATGGATGTATTTACTATCACAAAGTTATTTTTATTGCTTATAATGTACAGCAGCTCTACTTGAACTAAGGAGTTGCAAGAGAATGGATTCCTCTGTTTCTGCTTGCCAAATTTGAAGAGGTTGGCATGGTGGTTTCCCAGCCTTCCTATCCTCACAGAAATTCTGTCATACTGACTCTTTTTAGCTGTGCTCCCCTTATCCTCAGTGCCAGCCTCGCTTGCTCCCTCTTGTGTGTATATCAATTCATAAACTGGCACCAGCCCCCCCTTGCTTAGAAAACAAACAAGTATCAGGCTGTTTTACTTCCAGTTCTTTAAGTAGTGTGCATGGTGGTGTGCTATTTCATTTCACACCCAGCAAATTTTGTTTTTCAGCTCAGAGGGCTAGGTTTTCAAGTCAACTGATGATTTCTGTAACAACCAGTTCTTCCACAGTTACAGTCTGGGTGGTGTCTAGCTGACTTTGTTCAGCCTTATATGTCACTACTGGTAATAATGGCTTTGCAGGCACCACACAACTGTTAAGTTTTCAATTGATGTACGAGGCAGGTTAAAATTCAGGTTGCTTCCATAGCTGAGTTGATTTTGAGGCAAAGAAGAAGAGCTGCTTGTTTCTCTTGCAGAAGTGTGCAGATCTGCTTGAAGCAGAGTCATTCTTTTTGAAGCAGAATTTCATACTCTTACTAAAATCCTTTTGTGCTGGCTGATGGATGCTTAAAAGAAAGCCTAGCAAAAAAATCTTCATAAGAGAGCATCATATTTCCCCTTGCAAGTGGAATCTAAGGGCATACTGTTGCTACAATGGTCATTTCTTGGTAGAAGTTTACCAGTAGACTCCTACCTTTATGCATCTGTGTAATGCTGGTGAAACTATGACTCACTGAACTGAAATGTAGAACTGTGGTTTGTTGTGTTTTGTTTTTGTTTATTTTTTTTTAAAATGGATGCCACTTTGCAGAATAATCCAGTCTCAGCAGCATGCTCCTAGCGCATCTGCTTCTTGGTTTTTTATGTTTACTTAAGTTTATAGAGTACTTTGAGATGAATAGCATTACACAAGTCCTACATATTACTGTTTATCATCCCAGTCAGCCTGCTGTGTTTGCCTTGGTACTTGTGTAAGGGTATGTGGCTGTGCAATTTGATTGGGCTAAGCTTCAGAAAGATAATAAGCCAGGTGCTCTAGACACGTCCTTAGGAAGTGTGAATGGGTGTTTCAGAACTGAAATGCTGTTGCTTAGAGTAGTTTTTCCTCCAGCATGGGCTCCTGCTTCCATGGGATACCAAAGCACATTTGAGTATCTGCAAATTGAGTATCTGCATGTTCCTATGATGCATGTCTTAATAACATTAGTAATAGTTGTAGGGCTGAAAGCCATGTGGTGGGGCCTTGTAGGAATGCCTGATCTTGAAAACAAGTGAGTGTATCTTGGTGGAGACTTATGAAACTCGAGGACTGAGATGTTGACAGGTCCTGATTTCAGTAAGAGCTGGTGATCTCTCACAATTTGCTAAAAGGGCCTTTTGTACATGCAAAGGGCCAGATCCTGTAGGACATGCTAGGCAGTCTGAGCAACACATCATCTCCCAGTCTGTCGCTCTCTCAGCCATGCTGGCTGGCAGTTGTATATATTGCATGAAGTATTCAGAATTCCACAGATTTGAGGAAAGCAAAAAAAATTTCCATAAATCTTCTTGCAGAGTGTAATTTGTGAGGGCATTTGAGGCTTCTAGCACGTGCCTTTTTGAGGAACAGCATTTGCTTTGTGCCTGTTCATTTACCTATGTCAAAATAAAAAAAAAAGAAAATAATTTTAAAAGGCTGGTTGCCATTTCCAGCAGAGTTATCTGTTAGCTGGGAACTGTTTGTAGAGGTTAATGTCTCTTTGCCTAGTTGCTCAGTCATCTTTATATAAAGGTCACTTCAGTAAAAAATGTCTGTTGGGTGAATCATGCTGGTGGCAGATATATCTTAATCACTCTCCCAGCTCATGTACAGAACAATAGCAACAGAATTATCAGTGAGCAAATTGTAGCAATTATGCTAACACATAGCTCAGTCTGTGAGTGTAATAACAAGCTTGTGCTGTACTTCGGGTGGAGAGAGTTCCTGCTATTGAAGAAGTATGAATTAAACTGGAGAGTTTAAAAAGTTTGGTCATTGCCCAACCACAAATGGAAATCTATTCATATGTATATTACTTGGAATTGCTTTCCCCCCTCATATGGCAGGGGTCCATCCTGCTGCTTTCCTCTTGGAAATAACTGAAATAAAAATACCTTAGTGAATTCTGGAGGTGCATTTACTGCTGGTATGGTGAGTTCTTATTTTTGCAAACAGAGTTGTTTTATGTCTTCCTGACTTCATATACAAAGCAACCACTAAATAAAAAAAAAGTTGCTTCCGGCAGTAAAGGATCTGTGCACATACATTTGTGTTCCTTGTGTAGAGGTGTCTTTTTTGTTTCTCAGTCAGTGGTCAAAGATTGATTATTAAACATGTTTTCCTGGTCCCAGCTCACTGCATGTTTTAAACTGGTATTTGTATAGAAATTTACTTTTGGATTAAAAAGAAATACGTTTATCTTTTTGGGATGGAACAGAGAGGCTGCTGGAGGGGTCTGAAATAAGATTGTCTAGGAGGAGAATTGCCCTAACACTTTGCTTGTTGTGATGCAGGGGTTGAAAAGATGAAGGCTCTGAGGTCTTTGCATAATGGAGGCTGAGGATCCCTTTAGTTCGACTGGAAAGGTTTTATGCTGCAGATAAAGTTCAGAGGCTTCATGGGTGAAACAACAATAGTGGTGAGGGACTCAAGTGGCTGCCTGTGGGCTGGTTCTGGCCTGCAAGCTACTTCTGTCCAGGGGAACAGCAGTGGACACCAGTTGAGCAGGGAGTTGCTGTTGGTACCATGTCCTTGAAGGATAGCTGTCAGAGTGCTGCTGATGGTAGTACAAGAGCAGTTTCTCTGAGTCTTGAGGTGCTTCCTGTTTTCTTATCCAAACGTGGTAAATGAGGGGTGATAAAGTGGAGACAGAGCCAAACCTGTGTGAATTTGGGGAACAGGAGGAGAAGAGTTTTCAAAGCCGAAGATGTATGATATTCTTTAGTTAACTGTGTCTTAGGTTACTCCTGATCCCTCAGGGATGGTGGAGACCTCAGAGGTGTTTAATGCAGAATCCCAAGGTCAAGATAAAGGTGCCCCTGCCTTCTAGGCTTCAGGAGCTCTTTTGTTCAAATCCATACTTTTATTTTTGAGTAAAGTGTGCCCTAAGCTGCCCTCAGTGTGAATAATCCAGCTCCAGCTGTATTAGTAGCAATCATCTCTGAATGATGGCATCAGACTTTCATTTTTTTATAACCAAGTCTAAATATGAGGGGAGGAGATGTGATTCATCATGTGGTTCTGAAATAGACTTCAGGGAAGAGGCCAGGCTAACACCTGTGCATGATGCAGTGCTTTCTTGAGCTGTTTCAGGATATGAAATAACATTGTTGATGAGGTCAAGGGTTGTGCCCTGACATCCATAATGTAAGTTGTGTGTATGTTGCCCCTTCTGATAATAAACTGCTCTATTCTTTGCAGTGGAAGTGTTACAGAGCCTTGTGTCAGTAGAAGTGGAGCCACTGCCTGAGGCAGTAATACAAACCTTTGCTGCTCAAATACAGAGATCTACATCACAGACAGACATTCCTGATGCTGACCTTTCAGTGGTGGACTCCAAAATTGTGACAAGCCTCATGCCCTTTCAGCGGGAAGGTGTGAAGTATGTCCTTTTTGCATGCTGTTAAGAGCTAGTCCTTGCCTAGAATTGTGTACTTTATATTGGTGCCCAGGCTGCATTCTCTTCCATGGAGGGTTCCAGAATCTTGGGCTGTTACACTCTGGGCTGTTGGTTGTTTGGTATGGTATGGTTTGTTTTGTTGGGCTTTTTTTTTTTTGTGGATTTTTTTTTTCCTTTGAGTGACACATCTATTCTGTTTCTAGCTAGAATTCTTCATCATGAGTCAAGAGGAAAGTAGCATTTTGCTAGTCTCATAAAATTGTTCAAATGATACATCTCTGATCTCCCTCTTGTGATTCAGTATGTGCCTAATTGTCATATGATTTTTTTTATTTTGTAAGGTCATCTTTTTTCTTTTTTTTTTCCCCAAGTGCATTTCTTCTGTTGTTGTTTTTTAAATATTAACTACACATGGGAAAGTGCCAGGAAATGGGACCCAGTCCCTGAAAGATTTAAAATTACTAATTGTATGTAGAGATAAACTTTTAAATGTCCCTGTTCCCATCATATATGGTCATTAGTTGTTGACTTCAAGATGCGATCCAGGAAAGTTTGTACTTACTGGTATTAATGTGGAATAGTTATATAATATTTTCTTATCTCAGCCAGGATGAACTCTGGGACTGAATGTGAGTAATATCGTGGAAAGAATGTGCTTTAAATAATTGTAAGGTCTTGAGACTACTCCTCATGACATCAAAGTCTCTAAGGACTGGGCTGAACCACTCTGTTCAGGAACTTCCAAGCTTTGAGAGATTTGTGAAAGTTGCTCACTTGTGTTGAGACTAAGGGAGAAGATGCAGGTTTACTGAAGAACCCAGATCACTTCCAGGTCATCCACATTATAGGTTTGGTGATGAGTTATGCTCATCTTGGCTGCCAGGGCAGATAGTAATCCATTTCTTCACTCTGACTTATTTCCCCTCTCTAATTTCTCCAGTTTTGCAATTTTAAGAAATGGACGTTTACTTCTTGCGGATGACATGGGCTTGGGCAAGACCATCCAGGCGATCTGCATTGCTGCATATTACCGAAAGGAATGGCCGTTGCTGGTGGTGACTCCTTCTTCCGTGAGGTTTACATGGGCAGAGGTACTGTGAGCTTGAGCGTGTGCAGGTGGCCGGTAGAGGACATGTGTGATGGTTATGCTGTGTTGCACTCTGTACAAGTTAAAATTTTAAGAATATGTATATTAAGGAGAAGAAGCTAAAAATTGTACTCATTTAGAAAGTTGAGGGGGGAAAATTGCTTGGCACTGACTGTATATGCCTCTTTTCTTTTATTGGCCAATTTTGTGGTCCTGCTGATCTTTTGGAAAGAGGGAGATCAAGAGAAAGTGTCTCCTCTGACCCTCTGTTAACTTTGTGCAAGTCAGCTGGCTCCAAGGGAGCATTTTACTCATCAGTGTCAAAGACAATAGTTGCATGCAAGCAATTGCCTGTTGTTTTCAAGCCCTTCATAGCAGTATTTGCCAGTCCCTTGGCTGGAATAAAAGCCCAGGTGCTGGGATTCTCTGCTCTGTTCAAGAGGCCCCATTATCATCATCATTAAGTGTCTGTTGTAATATGTCTTTTGGCCTGTCCACTGTATGCTGCTGGCTCCTCAGGGTCCTTTATTAATGTTGATCAGAAGCCCAAGAAAGCTTATATGGTTGGGAGAAATGTATCTTGAAATAAATGACTGTCATGGATTGTACACTGAGGCTGTTGGGTTGCCATAGGCTAGTGAAATGTTCACTGTGGGAGAAAAAAGTGAGCCAGAGGTTTTAGGTCAGTAATTTCATGCCTGAGCAGGGGTGGATGGGAGTTTAGTTTTCCCTGGAATGTTGCATTGACAAGAAGTGTATTGACTGGGATTTGCTGGTTTTGTGCTGTAACTGGGTTGTTAGAGCATCTTGGCTTGTGTTTTCACATCCAGTAGTGTAACAAAATGTTGGGTGACAAGAAAAGAAAATTGTTTACTGAACAGGGGAGTGATGCTCATCGTGTTTGATATTTCAAAGGCATGTAGACCTCTGGGTCAACACCTAACCTGAATCTGTGGCTTCTGAGGGATACCTACTGGGAACAATTTGGGGCCTGGTTTCCTGAACTACTGGGCACCTGCAGCTAAACTCCTACATCCTGCTTCAAGAGATTTAAGCAATATGAGGTGTTTTGTGGTTTTTCTTTTTTTTCCTTTGACTGCTTGATTTCCTCTTCCTTCCCCTACTCCTGACTCCCGAGGAGGCTGTTGTGGGAGATGTTTTGTTAGAACATTTGCTTTAGAATGATCTGTATTGCTTTGTGGGTATGTGAAGGATGTAGGTCTAAGAAAAATGTGTCACACAATGTAGAAGAGGGTGGAGTTTATTATGGTCCGTAATCTACTCAGTTCATTCTTGTACAGATGTGTTTTACTGTATTGATAGATGCTTTTGTGGTGTCTCTGGAGCTGAATTGCCAGAAATTGTCTTCATCTCAGAATTGTCAGTGTTTTAGTTTGACTTTCTGGGCTCAGGCCACTGAGTGCCTTTATATTCAAGATGCCATAGGAAGCTAGCGGGAAGATGCGAGGTACTCTTGGGTGAGAAGTACTACAGCATGTGCATTTGAAGTTCAGCATTAAAACTTAAATAATTAACGGTCAGGGCAGTTTCAAAGCACTTCTTGTGGACAAAGGTCAGCGTCAAGTGAGAAATACAGCATGACTTTTATGGTGTGAATTAGTCATGTGCCCTTTATAAAAGGAGAGGGCAGTACAGCTAGGAGCTTCCAGATACTTTCTCATTGCTGCCACCTTTGTCTAAGTTTTGGCTTACCATCAGCCCCATATTTTTTGGTTGGGATCTAACCTTGCCTGCATGTTGGCCCATTTTGGTTGTGGTGCTTTCCATAAGTGGTGAAGGATAGTTAATTGTTAGTTTCTCACATACTGAGAAATGTGAGAAGCTCACAGTTAACTCCTCTGGCTGCTGCATGTGGTTGCTGAAGAGAAGAGAGGAATGATGCTTGAGGGATTTCCACAAGTGAAGGGCCTAGAGACAGAGGTGCCATTTCTCCTCACCACTTGGATACATTTCTGAAGGGACCAGATCCTGATTGCTAAAGCCCCAGCCAGCTCTCTGCAGAGCAACATCAGCAGAACTCAAATGTTGCAGAGAGGTTGCTGTCATTGGGGACACAATCATAAGGGAAATGGTGGGTGCTCAGTAGCTAACAGATGGGTTTGGGGGAGGATATCTTGCTCTGGTGTGTGGAGCATTTCAAGAGGTTGATTTGAATGACTATCACCATGTGTGTTTCAGCTGCTGTCACAGAGCAGCTGGTGTGTTGTCAACTTGATGTTTTTATTTTGTTTGTTTGGGGGTTTTTTTGGTAGACTTTTTAAGAGGTAATGGAAGAGTTCTTGTTGATCTGGATGAGTTGTACTTCATCCTCGCTGTGGAGTAAACATTGCTATAGTGAGAGATGTTAACTGCTTAGAAGTCTGTAGTTCACAGCCTGAGGTTTCCTGTTGAGTGAGAAAACTAAATTTCCCTATCAGTAGTGGTCACTGCGTTGTCTGGCTCTGAGCATAGCAGGTAACATTGTCAGGAGGTTATGCACTTTTCTACTACAGATCAGATTTTTGTTTTTTCAGTAAGAGGCAAGAATAGAGCATGTTTAAGCCTTCCTAGCTGTGGAAGGTAGATTTGGCCTTATAGCCTGAGTTCTGTTCTTGATCTTCCCATTACTAGGGTTGTTGCCTTGGGAAGGCTGCTTGCCCTTACTGTGCTCCTAGCTGATGTCTAATGGTGGGTGGGGTGATTCCATGTTCTAAGCATTCATGAGGATGCTCTGTGAAGTGCTTTGGAATCCTGACAGAGGACATAAGTACCAGAATGCAATTCATTGCTTTCCTCTTCCTCCAGGCATTTCACAGGTGGCTTCCATCCTTGAGTCCAGGTAGCACCAATGTCATAGTGACTGGCAAAGACAACCTAACAGCAGGCTTAATCAACATCATCAGCTTTGACCTCCTCAGCAAGATGGACAAGCAACTTAAGAGCACTTTCAAAGTAGTTATTATTGTAAGTGGTACACTAAAATTTTGAAGTTAATTGTATGCTGCAAATGGGGTAACCTTTGTGTTGTACAGCAGACAAGTGTAAAGAGGGCCATACTTAGGACTGAAACTATCTTGTAATTCTGGCTGTGATCAAAGCTCTCCATGAGTAGAAGCAGGAGATTTCTCTGATACCTTCTTAGGTAACTAGTAGAGTTTAATTCCTTTTTGATTCCTGAGTCTGTGTTTTCTCTTTTACTGGTTATGGTGCCTCTGCTTTCATTGTGGTTGGGCATGTCCGCTGCTGGAGAGAAAGGTGTTTAATGTGGTGTGTCAATACAATAGTCTTGGAATTGTATCTTTTTAAGGGGATTGGACTTCAGGGTGATGCTAGTGTTTATCCAGTAAACCAGATACCCACATACTTGATGTTGAGAGGTTAAAAGCCTCCAAAAATCTCCCTTTGCTTGTGTTCCACTGGCAATCTGCATTAAGCTTTCTTTGATCACTTGTATCATTTTTTTTGTAAATTACTTCAAAACCATTTTTTAACCTTTTACAGAGCCATGGTAGAAGGCTTTTTTTTAGATTTCAGTCATTCAAAACATCTAGTGTTTCAAATCCAGCTTGGATCAAAAGAGACCAAAAGTGTATACGTAGCTTAATATGAGTGTTTGATGTTGTCAGTCCAGTTATCAGCATACATATGCACCTGTCCCTAAGATCGTGACAATTGGAACATAATAATCCTTTTGTTTCTCAGCATGAGATGGGTATGTGGGAATAGATGGAGTTCTTTGGAGACGAAACTACCCATGGGGGAATTGTTTGTTTTGGTTTGGTTTTAATTTTTTTTTTTTTTTAATTTTTATTTTTTCCCTTGCCCATTCTCTGACAAGACATTCTGTCAGGGTGGAAATGCAGATTGTTACTTTTGTATGCTGGTGCTTGGAGTAAAGGGACTTGGGCTCTAGGGCTACTGCCCTGGAACCTTTTACCAGCCCTGAGCTGGCGGATGTTCTTTCTGTGTGTTTATATGTTCAAATTTGGATCCTGTATACGTTTTTACAGATGAGAGTAGTCCTACCGAGTGCTGAGCTTCCCTGCTTTTTCTTCCAATCTTCTTTTGATGGCAGGGAACATTAATGTAGCTTATTTGTTAATCAGGAGGGAGAAGGCTGTGCCTGAGAGGCTAAGCAGTTGTATTCTCTTTGCATGCATGGTTGCTTGCTCATCCACACGTGGAAAGATGAGAATGCACCCTTGGAGGGCGCCAATTACTTATTGTGTCTAAGTTCTGACTTGCTGCAGCAGTAGAAATGAAGCCTGTTTGGGAGTGATGTCTCAAGTAGGAGGCTATTATCCACCTGGTGAGCCCTATCAGCAGAACAGTTGGATCCTAATTAGATTTCTTTTTTTCCTTATCATTTTCATTAACCCCTTGTTTAGGGAAATGGCAGTGTATAGGCCTCCTATGTTTGCTGCATTTAAAGGACACATGGGGGCAAATGAATGTCAGTGGTGGAAATAATGTTCCTTTCTCCTTCCCTCTGCTCCCTTGTTTGTGGTCATTTGAGATTCATGGCTTTAAGGTTTGATTTCTGTTCCATTTGCTTGCAGCTGCCAGTTTGAATATAGGCAGCCTGCTACTCTCCGTGCTGTCTTTTCGTTTAGAATTTGATGTGACTATCCCAGTGCTTGAAATATCCCCTGGGATGATATGCTTGTAATATTAGATAGCTGTGAATACTGGGAATTTGTTCTGTAGCCTGCAGTTGGACTATGGATCAGAACTGTCTTCACTTTCATGCTTGTTTTGTTTCAGGATGAATCTCACTTCCTAAAGAACATAAAAACTGCACGATGCCGAGCTGCCATGCCTCTGCTCAAGGTGTGTATGCTGGGTGCCAAACCTGCAGCAGCTAAGGTCAGGCTCCCAAAGCAGCATTGCTCCATTTACCAGGTTTAGGAGCCAGCAGCTGAATTCTGTTGCTGTGCAAGTGGAAATCCAGGTAATGTAGATCCAAGAGCAAAATTTGTCTCTGGCTAAGCCACTTGTTCCCATGCAAATGTTAGATGGTAAGACCTAACAAAAGAACTTCAGAAGCTGCCTTAATCTAATTGTGGTACTGTCACTGATGAGTTTTATGGTGATGGGAAAAATGGAATGTCAAAACTTACTGAGTGCATTCAGGGAGAGTAGAAAGAATATAGTAGTGTCAACATAGCTCGTTTAATGGAAATAATCATTATCAGTTAATTCTTGGCACAAAACCACTGCTGTATATCAAAATGACATTACCTAGGTCCCTTCCTTGGCTTTGGTTTTGGGCTCTACTCTGTTACTGCAAGCTTCCAATGTATTTGTATGGCTGGGGTTTGGGAGCACTCCTGCTGGTTAAATATACAGAACTAGTAGGAGATGGCAGAATGCGAGGTTAGCAAGACAAGTGGCCCACAGAAGGGAGGCAATATTCAATTATGCAATAACAGGAGAAATGTAAATTTTAATGTCTGCCTGTTGTCCTGGGATCAAAGAATCAAACTCTCCCTGGTAGCCTGTAGCAGATTAAAGTTATTAGTAGTTTCTAGACACTGCAGAGTCTGTACATTAGAACAAGGTAAATGCAGTTCCTCTTCAGCAATTATCAGCAAGTGCGTATAAAGAGAAGATTCGATCTGTGATGGCTTTATAGCAACCAACTTTTATATGCAAGATTCCTAATGGCAAGCCGAAGGTGGTTGTCCTTGAATAACTTCATTGTTCTCTTTAAAGGCCTGATTCTTGTCTTCTCTTGGCTTTCAAATCACTTCAGGCTTTTAATGTTTGGAAACTAAGTAGGAGGTCCAATTTTATGAGCAGTTTGAAGTACAGTAATTAGGGTGTATGTCTGAAAATGGTGGAAAATAACAGATTTACCTCATTGCAAAATGCTCAAAAAATTGTCTCATCCTTTCCTACTTGTAGCTTTGTAAGGATCAGCTTGTCAAAATTATTTGCAGGCTACAAGATATGAGAGTGAAAGATGGTAGCTGTTAAGTGGAGGTTAATTGCCTGTATGCACTTACTGAGAATTTACAGTTTTATGCTGTCACATCACTGGTCTTAGACAATTGAGAACTGGTGCTTCTGAAACTGACTTTCAGTCTTCTGAAAGCATTAAGAGTCTCATGTTCCTATCATGTGTTGTCTCACCTGCAAGCAGCATACAGTACCGGTTGTTTTGTGTTAGATGTTCAGGTAAACTATTCTCCTGCTTGCTGATGGTAACTTCTGAAGTGAGTATTTGCTGTAATAGCCACTCTCTGCCCTCCTTGCTTTCCAGCACAGGTGTTTTGCTCTAAAACTAGCCCTTTTGGCAGCTTTGTCTTCAACTACTAGGGAGTGGTGCTGTGTTCACTACTGGTAAAGCACATCACAGGAATGCTTTCATATTTGAAAAAACTGCCAAAATATGAGGAGTTTTCATCACTCGAATACTGGATTTAACAACTCTGTCATATTTATAGTAAATAGTCAATGGCGTAAAAATGGGACTGTTTTAAGTATTTTACATGATACTTTGAGATTATTGAATAAGAGACATTGATAAACATGCTGCTGAGGATAATATTCTTGCTGTTGCCTTCTTTATGTTGAAAGGGTTAGAGCAGTACTGGGGCTCTTAGAAGAGACCAAAAAAAGGTGTTTCTGTAGGCAAGCCCTTGATAGGTACACTGCTTCTAGCACCTAAGTCCCTACCTTAAGGTCACAGTGTGAAGCCATGCCAGTAGTGTAACCAGAGCCCCTGGAGCCAGCTCATGCCTTGTCTATCTTCTAAGCATTGCCACTTCTAACTGTTGTTAGCATTATGCTACTTTAAACTTTCTGAAATTGCCATAGTTGCTTTTATTTCCTACGATGTTCCCAACATCCTAAAGCATGAAAGCTTAGCCTTGAACTGGCTTCTGGGGACAGAAAAGAAAAAAAAAAAATCTAAGAAATGTGATCTTTGGTTCTTACATGCTACAAAGATTTATGAGTCCACAATGATACTGGACAGACCTAAGTTAAAGTTTCTGAGCCTGAAATATTTCTGTCACTTCCATGTGTACTTAATAGATTCTTTTTATCTTGATAGAATCTGCTCCTGTGACTTCTCCATTTGAATAATAAGTAAAATATAAAAATTGTTGTGTTTAGACAGAACTGCACAATAATCAGATTAAATCAATACATTCATAGTAAAGACAGTTTACCTTGGATATTAATTTTGAATCTGCCTTGTTAGACAGCCAAGATGAATCTCTACCTCTGAAATATTTAACCCATGATTACAGCATTTAAAGCCTCAGTTTAGTTTTAATATCTGACATTGTCTTGTTTTCAAAATGAAGTGGTATTTTTAGCCACTCAGTAATAATTCATCTTTTCCTGCTCTCTTGTATATATTGCACAGCAAGCGTGGTATGGAATTGTCAAGCAGAACCATATATTAAACATGTGGCCTAAGTTTGTCAATTGGGAACTTCTAGACATTTTTTAATATTAAAAAAAACCCCATAAACTCTGTGTGTGTGTGCAGTCTTCGGTGTGCGTAGTACTCAGTATCTTTTGTGGCATACTTAGCTGCTGCCCTGACAGAGATTTAGGAAAGGTTTGCCTGGGGCAGTGGGAAGTGTGACCAGAAAAGACTTTTTAGTGCACTTTTACAATGGCTGGATGTGTGCAATGATCATGCTTGCTACCTGGTAGCTTGCCCCAGGTTGTCATTAGTTTAAAGTAAATATATAGACATGTTGTGCCCATTTTATTGTTATTGGACAAAACTTTGAGAGGAACTTAGTTACACAAACGGTAAGATAGGGTGAGCTGAAATAGCAGATGCAAAATATTTAGGCCAGATTTCTTATTCCCTTCATGTTCCCAGTGGATGTGCAAACCTGTGGGTGTGCAGACTTGTACATGGGGAGAATGCTTCATCTGCCTACATGGAACCAGGTGGCAGTTTGTACACAGTCTGTGTGCATCCCTGCAAAATTATGGAGGTGGATGGATTGAAAGCCATAGAAAACAGTCCTCTGATGTTTTGGCATGTGGCAAAAATCCTGCTTTCAAGGTCAGCCAGCTTTCACACTGGCCGGTCTGTGCCAGCAGCTGTGTGAGATCTGTCCCCAGCTTCAGCATCTCTCATGGTACTCAAGAGGGCTAGAAGTTCCTGTGTTCACAGTGGTCCTTTTGTCTTGTTTCCACACACATCAAAGTGAGAATAGCCTCATACTGTTAGGCTTTGCTTGAGTCACCGAAAGGCCTGGTCAGGGCTGGCTTGTCCCTGCTTCTAATCCAGAGCTGTGGCAATCAGTAATAGGACCTGTTTGTCACCTTTCTGTTTTCTTTAGTCTCGTGGTTGGGACTAAGTTCTCCTGGGCGTACTGACAATATTGGTTGTTCCCTTCGTCTCTGCCCTGTATCTGCCTCCCTCAAAGGCAGAAAGTGTCATGGTGTTATGCCTTTTGTAAGCATTTTGTCTTTACCTCCCAGGATGTCCTGGTTTCAGCTGGGATGGAGTTAATTGTCTTCCTAGTAGCTGGTACAGTGCTATGTTTTTGAGTTAGGTATGAGAAGAATGTTGATAACACTGACGTTTTCAGTTGTTGCTAAGTAATGTTTAGTCTAAAGTCAAGGATTTTTCAGCTTCTCGTGCCCAGCCAGCGAGAAAGCTGGAGGGGCACAAGAAGTTGGCACAGGACACAGCCAGGACAGCTGACCCAAAGTGGCCAATGGGGTATTCCATACCGTGTGACGTCACATCTAGTATAGAAACTGGGCGTAGTGGGGGCAGGGGGATCATCGATCGTTGGGTGGTGAGCAATTGCATTGTGCATCACTCGTATATTCTAATCCTTTTATTATTACTATTGTAATTTTATTAGTGTTATTATTATCATTATTAGTTTCTTCTTTTCTGTTCTATTAAACCATTCTTATCTGAACCCGTGAATTTTACTTCTTTTTCTCATTTTCTCCCCCATCCCACTGGGTGGCGGGGGGAAGTGAGTGAGCAGCTGCATGGTGCTCAGTTGCCGACTGGGGTTAAACCATGACACAAGATTGGACTGGCCCAGAGACATGAACATAGGAGAGGGAGTATACATGCTACCAATATCCATAAAACAGCAAAGCCCCAGGGGTGTAGATGAAGAAGAAACAGCAAACCAGAAGTTTTTCACTGATCAGTGGTGGGATCTCTTTGGGACCAGAGTGAAAAGGATTCTATATTCTTTGACCAGCCAAAGTGCTTCATAGTCTTTGTTCTTCTGTAATTGCATGGAGTACTGCAAGACAATGGAAACTGGGGAAGGTCCCAATGGAACATGGATGAGATTTTTGGAAGCACAACAGTAAGTTTTTAGTGAAGATCTGTGCTAGAAACTGAGAAATAAAAAATAGTATCAAATGACAGATTCCAGTGGTATAAAATGGTCTTATTCCTGTTGTGCTCCCTATGGGCTTTTTTCCAGAATATTTGGGTAATATTGCTAATGTGATTGTTCCTATTGAGCTGCTGTTCAGGTTAATAGCATGATGCACATCCTGATGTTTGCAGGGTTAAAGGTCTTTGTTTCTATTATGGAAGTCCAAATACATTGTGTGGCTGGAATCTAATACTCTTTGTGCTTGTTTTAATAAAGAGATGCTTAAAAATAATGAAGGGAAATAGGTCAGTGCTGAAGGTGGAAGGTGAGGAGGGAACACAAAAATCTCCCTTTCCAGTGCAAAATAAGTAGCAGCTGTCTTTAGGCATTACAAATCCATATGGATTGGATAAATAAACCTTTGCTTGTTGTCACCTGCTGAGAGAAGGAACTTCATCTTGAAATTGGAGAAGCTGTGGGCCCTCAAGGTTGCATCTTCAGATCTGCTCGTACTTTGCAGTTTCCCTTCCTTCTCAAAATAGGGAGGTAGTTTAATTTGCTTCAGTCATAGCTGATCATCGCCATGTGACACACATTATCTGTCTAGATGTCACTTAAGAATAGGGAAAGGCATTTATATTTTTTGGAATAACCACTGTAGGATCATCTTATGAAATGCAGATCCCTATCCGTCTTACCCAAGTACAGAAACAGACTCTTCAAAACAGCTGCAACCCTTTCCCTTTATCAAATCTTCTATTTCATCAGGTGATTATCTCTATTATATTATGGCAGCTCTCAGATTTTTTGTTTCACAGGATAAGGTATTCTTATGCTAAGCAGTTCAAAATGACAGAGTAAGCAAAAACTGGGGGCACAAGTAATTGTACAGCCAGGACCAGCCACACTTATTTAAAAAAGTTTGTCAGTCTGTTAGCATATGGCAGAGCTCATGCTGTGAAGTTCATTTAACACAGACACAGTCATTGTATGTTAATGAGGCTCTCTGCATGTTCAATTATTTCTTTGTGGCATAACCCCCCCCCCCCCCCCCCCCCCTTCAAATTAGTTGGGTGCTGGGTTTTGACCTCTAAAGTAAGTGTGATTGGGGTTACCATTATATAAATTATTCTTTGACTTTCAAAAGTGACTTTTGTAAATGTTGTCACAGCTGTGGAATTAATTCTTGCTGGTGTATTGTGTGTGCAAGTGTAATGCTACAAAGCCACAATTGTCTTATGTTACTGAAACCAGGACGCTTAGTAAACGAAGGCTGCAGACCAACTCTCCACTAGTCAAGTCACTGTCAGAGTTCCCTTAAGCAATCTCACAAGAAAGGAGCTGTAAGAACAGTCACAAGGACTCATGAGAGAGAGGAGTGCTTCTAGCGAAGATTAAACTTCATGCCTAAATGCTAATGAGCAGCTAATGTTACTACTTCTATGTGGAAATATGTATCAATTGATTACAGATCTGGTTTTGATAGAAAGTCCTTGCTGGTCCCTGCAATGTTATTTTCTGTGCTGTTGTTCCATATTATTCTTACAGACCTTGGAAGAAAGAGGGTAAGCTCCCACTCTTGACAGCACAGAAGGTTCAGCAGGAAACAAGAATTAAGCAGTGATCAGCAGAGACTTCTCTGCAGGAGCAAATCTTTATTGGCATCTATTCAAAAAGAGTTGCCACTAGAAAAAGAAATGTGAATCAAAGCCATTTCTTTCATCCAGAATTTAAGTAAGCCTTCAACACTCGAAACTTGTCTTCTTAGGATTTTTTTTTTCTTCTCTTCTTTCTTGGGCTCCTTCTGTCATGGATTTTAAAACTGAAAGGCATCCTTGGAATAATGAGTTAGACCACCTATGTTCCACACAATTTTCTGGAATTAATTTCTTCAAGTTCTTTACAGCTCTTGTAGAGCTAGTGTCTTTTGGGGTTTTTTTGTTGGTTTTGTTTTGTTCTGGTTTTTGTTTTTTACTTCTTGATTTGTTTAAAATGGTTAATTATGGAAGATGTATCGCAGCCCTTGGTAAGTGCTTGCAGTGGTTAGATACCCTATCTATTCAGGAATAAGTAGTGCACAGCAAAGCAGCAGCTGTACAAGTTTAGAATTCAAATAACATGTAACTTCATCATTCTCTCTTTTGATACCTATTCAGGGATTGGGGAAGGAGCCTGACTAATTGTTTTGACTACTGGGGAATTAGTGTTCCAACCCTGTCTCATGTAGCTCCTGGGGAACATCCTCCAAAGAGGAGGAGCCTTGAGAATGGCATAAACCCTTTCAACACCATTGGGTTTGTTGCATTTAATATGTCCCTGGTCTGTTTTGAGTGATCTTTTCTTGCTTTAGCTTGATCCAGAGTTATTTGAAATGAGCTGTCTGTAATTGCATGACCTCCATCTTGTCTTTTTCCTAGCAGTGGCCTTCTGTTAGTCCAGGAGGAAAAAGTTTAATTTGGACATTTCTTGCACATGTGGGACTGGCTTGTCCGTTTCAGCAGATCTCTCAGGGTGGTGTCAGTTTACTCCTTTCAGGCTTCTGCAACGCATCAGATATTGTCTACGTTCTGCTCAGTTGTCGTCCACTGTTACCTCAGTTTCAAAAACTGACCTAATTCCTGCTTTATCCCTTTTTTCCCCTCACGGGATCTGATATCTTTGGTCTCTGTGACTCCTCCCTCTTTAGAGTAGTATAGACACCTCTGTCTTGTGCAAACTGACTCTTACCTTGCGACATGTCCAAAGGTTTGACCTCTTCTTTTATTTAGTTCAATAAATATCCTGCTTTTTTAAATGTTTATGGGAATTGTCTGATCCTGGTATTGATCACATTTCCTTCTGATCCATTTAATAAGGATGGCAGGAGAAGACATGTTCCACCTTGATTACAACCTATATATAAATATCTGATAAAGAGTCCTGAAATTAATTTCCGGTAGCTGATCTGTGAACTCTTTCCACCAGACTTGGTTAGTAAGTGGATGAATCAGCTGAATAGATTTGGGTGACTGGTAGATCTCAGTAAAATGATAAAAGAATTTCATTTTCTTTTTCATTTAAATGTGAATGAGCTGTTGGTACAGATGTCACTCAAGAATCTCTTTGTTATTTTAATGAACCTGCATTAAACCATGCAGAAAATTACAAGGCATGTGTTATTTAACTACTATATGTGAATTTACAGCAGTAGAAATTCATAGCTCTCATCTAATAATAGAATTAGATAATAATGGAGATATGAGGGTAGAAAGGCATCTTGGAGGCTTTTATGTCTACAGTGTAATTTTTTTTCCCCACTTTTCGGGAGCACCTACTTTAGATACAGGTTTCCCAGCCCCTTCTTGTCTCCCCTACAACACATGTTTTACAATCTTCTTACATGATTTGTATTTATTAACTCATGTTCTAGCATCCAGCCAGCTGTGCCTAGACTCACCATGGCTGTCAGATGGGCATCTTCGGGTCCTGCTTCAGGCAGCTTCATCTTTCTTTTCTTGCTAGTAGAATTTCAAAAGAAAAAAAAAAATTAATAAAAAGTAAGAAAAAAATCTACTTCTCTGGATCTCTTCTGCTTTTGTGAGGAAGACAGTCTTGTTTATGGCTTGTTGTGGCAAGTTTATTACAAGACAATTTATTTTGGAGGTGAGGATGTACCTGAGAGGGTGTGTCATTTTCCTGTGACATCCGATGCCAAATGAAATGTTGAGCCAGCCGTAAAGATATTAATGTGTCTAGTGGGTAAATGCCAATTCGGAAAGTACTCTCATAAAAGTTGATGTACCCTTCCCTTATAGCATGTGGATGATGAATAAAAAACCAATATGGTTTGTCCTGTTTCCTAGAAGTTTTAAGCACTGTCCTTGAGCGTCTTCAGGCAGTGAAGGCTGAAAGTATCTGTGGAAAGTGAAGTACTCTTCCATTTAGGGTGCTTGGACAATGGCTCTGGGATTTTCTTTTGGAACTGGGGATGACTACTTAGCAGGTTCTGCTTATATTGTAAGCTGTATGATAACGATGCTCTGTTTTGCTTTCCCAGGCTGCCAGGAGAGTGATCTTGCTTTCGGGAACCCCTGCCATGTCGCGGCCTGCGGAGCTCTACACGCAGATCATGGCTGTCCAGCCAGCCTTCTTCTCACAGTTCCACTCCTTTGGGCTACGCTACTGTGATGCCAGGAAGGTACTTCAGTGGGGAAGTTGCAGACTGGGGCACTGCAAACAGCATTTTACTTTTTATTTCAAAATGTGGAGGCTTTTTCTTTCCTTCCTTCTATCTGTTGCTACATCTTTTTTGAGAAAGTCTCACTGCAGAGTAACATTTTGAAAGCTTTCAACCTGAGAAGCTCTAGATGCTGCAGTGGTGGGCCTGAGACATGGAGGCAGTAATGCTTCCTGTCAAAATCTGCCCTGAAAGCCAAGGAAGTAAAAAAAAAAAAAATAAAAAATTGTCCATAGCTGGGGAAAGGAGCCTATTCTAATAAGAACTTGCCCCCAGAGTGTTTTAAATGGGCAGAGTAACTATGGGGCCTTTAGGCAGCTGCAGGTTTGGGCTAATTGATTAAAAAACCAAACAAACAAAAAAACCAAACCCAAACCATTTACTACTCTGCTTTAGTGACTGTTTAACAAAGTAAGGCCTCTGTTGCTTGGGATTTTGGATTTTATACCTCTGGGTAAGTAAAAGATGAAGACTTATACTCTGTCTTTGTATTCCACCTTCTAATTCACGAAATGGATGTGATCCTCAGCATATCTTGGAAATAAGTTAACCTCTCTTATCTCTGCCAGCTGCTCAGCAGTGGTTTCAGCAGAGTCACCAAGTCCAACTAGTGCAAGATCTTGGCTCTGCAGGAAGCCAGCATTTGCAGCCATGATGGCAGGTGTCTGTCTTGCTCTCAACGTATGGGCAACTCAGCTGTCCTTGGATTTGCCATCTCTAGGACTGCTGTGTGTGTTGGAACACAGACTGCTAAGAGAAGAGCTCTTGCTGCTGCCTGTTGTACAAGGAGGCTCTAGGATCTTCTGTGCTGGTTGCATAGACACAAAAAGGGGAATCAAAGTTCCCCTGAGTTCTGATTTGGAGCAAGAGCCCTCTAATCTGGCTTGCCCTTCAGTTCCTCCAGGACAAGCATGTAGCAGTTAGCATGTGGCACAGAATGGCTTGTCAGTATAAGCATGGACCTGTAGTGCATGAACTTGCTTGCTCTGCTTTGTTCTTGAGTAATGCATTTCACTTCTTGTGCCTAAGACTGGGCAAAAACTTTCAGCAGAGTGGTTGGAAACACCAAATGACCATTTCAATGCTCAAAAATATTTACAGAAGAACTCATCATCAGTGTATGCCATAAAAATAGGTATAGCTATTAGTAGGGCTTTCATGTTTGTTTTCTTTTCTCTGTTTGGGGTAGCTAACATATGCCAAGTTTCTACCAAGAAGATTCATATTGCAGTCTTGTGTGAAGTTCTCAAGTCCCCTTTTTCCTAGATATGAATGCCCACTTTTACTTTCGTAGCTAGTGTAGTGCTGTTCTGCATATGTCCAAATGTGCAAGCTAGATGAGCAATTCATTTGCTTTGGTAGTCATATGCTGATGCCATTGATTAAAGTAAGGCCATTAGCACACAGAATCACAGATACAAAGCTTGAGTTCTGGAAGATGACAGCATTCATGTTAGCAAAGCACTGCTTTCCTGGCAGAGGATAAACTTACTGTTTCTCCATCCATAGTAGGAATCTTATGGAGAGAGAGGGCCACGTCCTCTGCTGAGCTTCATTATCTTTGTTGAAAGATTCTTGTCTGAGTATCGCTCGGAATGCTTCTTAGACGGAAATTAAGAGAAGCAGTTAAATCTTGTTGGTTTTCTGAAGTAAAAAGGAAAGCTGAATTGCAGCGTGTGAGTCTGAATGGGTTTGGAGTTTCATAAACCCTTTGAGGGTAAAGTTCTGCAGTCATACGGACCTCAGGTAAGATGTGGAATTGGATAAAAGAAATAAAATTGTTTTACACAATCCAGGTTGTAATTCTGTGTAAATCTGTGTATTCTGTGTAAATGAGTTTTCAACCTACAATGAAACTCAGCATGGAGGTCACAGTCTGCATCCGCTTCCCTTCAAAACCTCTGCAGGGTTTCTAGTACAATTTTGTTTCTCTGTTTGACCTGCCTCTTCTAGACAGTTGAACATTACTGGTCTTCTCACTGCTCACCTGGGACATTTTGCTACAGTTAATGTCAGTAAATGATAGAGTGAACCCAGAAAGACCTTGGTTATTTAAAGAAGTGGGGCTGCAGGAAATGAAGATATGTGGATAGTATTAGAGGAAAAAATGAGACTGCTGAATATTGGATTGCCATAGATCTACACAGCAATGAGTAAATTAAAAGGTGTTTTGATGATTCTAGTTGTTCCCTCATGAGTGTAGTATGTCCCTCAAGTTCCTTTTTGCAGCTCTAACCTGGATTATGTTAAGAGTTACATCCTCTCTGAAGAACTGTTGTGTACTTTTGCTGTCATTACTTAAATAGGTTCTTCTTTCTGTCCTAAAAGTGGCAGCATTATGAGTGGGGATGGAATTGCACAGAACCAGAGAGGTGTTGCAAGGCTTTTGGAGATCTGTCAGGATGAGAGGTGCTATGTAAAAATGTTTTGGTATTGATAATAAATCTGATTGCATTATAAGATTAAAGAAAAATTGACAGACTTGAACCATTCAATTTAAAACTAAAACCTGACTAGTTTCCGTTTGAAGAGAATAGATTTTATGACAGAAAATTGCAAATATCTGGCAGATGTGATTAGAAAAGATATAAAATAAAAGTTTATCATTTTGTAATGCAACCTCCCAGCATCTGTACTCTTAAAAATGCAGCAAGTGAAATGTCACCTGCTTATTTACAAAATATCTCAAGTCTGTTTCCCAAAATACATGCTGTGAATTCATTTTTCAAACTGGGTGATGTTGGCAAATATTAAACAATTTCTATCTGAGCACATGCTCTGAATTTGTAAGAGTTTGGCAGCTTCTACTAACACTGTGATAAGTTTACTGACTCATGTAAGATGCTGTAACACTTTGGTAAGAAAATCACAGTTGGAAGCATTTGTTCTGGAACGTTATGGATCAAAGCCAGATGTGTATTTTGGCAAAATAAATGTCCCTCTTTTTTCTCTCTCTTCTTTTCCACAATAGGATATACTAAACTATATTTTAATAATTTCCCAAATAATCATATTTTTTATTGCTCGCTAGGTGCAGCATGGAACTAGCATGTTTCCTTGTTTGCAAATTGTTCCAGCAACAGTCACCATAAAAGGAATTTAGTAATCTGAACATACTGTAGGGATTCTGCCTGTATATGTTTTTTAATATGACAGTAGATAGTATATTCGCTCTGTTTGTGCCTTGTTCTTTCAGTTGTGATGATGTTACTCTTCTGAAATGAATTGTGCTAGGTGGACACAACACATATGTATTACTTGCTTGTTATGGAAGTGGAAAGTGGAAAAACATGGGCTGCATGAGTAGAATGAGGTAGCCTGAGGAGAGTGTCCAGGCCCTGTAGCAGGTCTTGCTCAGCAGCCTAGTCAGTGTTGATCCCTGCTACGTAGCTACCAGTACCTTGAGCAGTGTGGGCAGAGGGCTTACGAGGCTGGGTACAGCACTAGGTGGGTCCTTCCTGGTTCCGTACATCTGCTCTGCTGGGTCCACAGAGTCTGAAGAATTGCAGAAAGGGGGCACGAAGACCGGGGCTCAGCACTATCAGTTTTCATGCAGCATGCCTAAAGCTAATAAACCCAGCTAGACTTGAGCCAGGTTTTTACGAACCTGAGGGATGTATCTGCACTGCACTCCTGGTTTCAGGGAAGAAGAGCTGTAATACCCATGTTGGCTTTTTGAGGGCTTGGCTTAGATCCAGGTGGGCTTATTACCTCTGGCTGTATACCACTGTGCTGTTGTCAGAGCCAAAGTTTTAACTCTACAGGATCCAAACTGGCTTTGTGTCTAGGGTTTGAATTGTTTCCTGCTTTAATGAACCAACTATAGATAATCAGATGGTACCATAATTATGTAGGAATAGATTAAGTCAAATGAGTTTTAGTGGTGGCCGTAAGTGCCAGAATCTGAAGTCAGTTAATGGTTCACATCAGTACAACATGGCAATAGAATTGCAGATTGTCCTGCTATTTCTCAGCCTGAAGTAGGAATGTTCACTTCCAGATACCAGTGAGGTCTTAATCGCCTGTAAGCTGTTTGCTTCCTCCTCTTTCTGTCTCATGGCATGTTCCCATCATTGTTCCATCAAAGCACCATCCCTTAATACAGTCAGTAATGTGACTAATCTCATGGCTGGTATGATTTATTTTGTCTCATGCATTCTACAGGAGAATGGAGGGTGCAGTGAATACTTTGGAGCTTTTTGTTATTTTACTTCCCTTTCTGGTTACACCTGGTTTCTCTTGGGGAAGGCAAATGAAAGATAGAGATTTTTAAGGTTAAATCTATTTTAGCAATTAATGTGGCACGATGAGAGTGGAGCAGCAGATCAAAAGGGTTGGTGCTGAGGCTCCTTACATCTCTGTTATATGCATTTCAGGAGGGTATATGTATACATATGTAGGGGGTTACTTTGGGTTGTTTTTCCAAGACCAGAGGTTGTATTTTTGGCTTTTTTTGGTGACACTGCCAGTAAGACTTGGAATTAGAGCTGTGAGGAGGATTTTGCCTACCCCCTGCTTTGATTTTCAGTATTACTGTAGCTGTATTTCATACACTTATTTGTGAAACTTCAGCAGAAAGGTATCTCTTTATCCTTTACTTCAGCATAAAAACCTTATTGGTCTCCTCTCCAAAACAAAATTTTTTAAAGACGTTTCTTTTGGGGAATGTACCAATTTTGATGCCGCTGTTTGTCAGCTTAGTTGTTCTTTCCTGGAGAACAAATGATAGGCTGTGGGGTTACTAGTAGAAGTGATGAGCTGAGATTAATTGAACAGCTATATATTGTCTGCACACAGGATCTTGGAGGATAGGGCAGGTTCAGAGGTGAGTGCTTCAAGGAGGAGTAAATGAAGGGTTTGTTCAGAGGAGCTTTGAAGTGATGATGCTTTGAAGAGACAATGGTTGGAGTGATGTATTGTGGGCCACAATTTATTTATGGTAATGGCAGAAACAGAGTATGTCAGGAAGCGGATCAAGAGACAGGTCACAGTGGGAAGCAAGCAATTTTGACCTAGCATTTACTGGGTATGTCAGACAAGTGTAACATCTCTGTGAAGGCATTTGGGTTAAGGATGTTTGTCCTCATGCTGTTAGAGAAGATTTTTGTGTATCTGCTTAAAACTGAAGTAAATGTGTGCACAGAATTGCAGTGAGTTCTGTCAGTCTGCCCAAAGCTGCAAGTGGAGAGCAGAAACACCTTGCTGTGTGAGGATGAATACCAGGGCACACAGTGCTGTGGTAGGGACCTCCACCTATCTGTGTAGTCCCTGAGCACCTGTAGATAGGAAAAAGGGAAATTTAAGTAACCTTCTCATGTTGAATGGATTAGTTTGTACACTTCTATCTTATTGCCATTTTTGTCAAATCTCTCTCCCTGCTGATCATAAAGTTCTTGCTTTGTCCAGTTTCCCTGGAAGTTTATTCTACTCTTGGATTGCCTGCAGACCAGTCTCTTTTAAGTTTGACACTGATAACTGCTTTGATCTTTCCCAGATGCCGTGGGGTTGGGACTACTCTGGATCATCCAACTTAAATGAACTGAAAATTTTGCTGGAAGAGTCCATCATGATCCGACGTCTGAAATCGGATGTGCTTTCCCAGCTTCCAGCAAAGCAACGCAAAATGGTTGTGGTGGCTCCTGAAGGCATTAGTGCAAAGACCAAAGCTGTCTTGGCAGCTGAAGCAAAGAAGATGGCCAAAGGATATGAAAGTGTAAGTCAGAAACTATTTTTGTGATAATCCATTGATATTTCAGATACCTTTATTTAAAAACATCAGTGGAAAAACAGTACCCTGAGTTCCAAGGAAGGTCAGAGCCACATCTCATGTGAAGGTGCAGTGGAAGGCTGTTGAAGGCACAGTTTTAAATGAATGTACAACACAATCAAAACAGCTCAGCTTTTTTTCCTTTTGATTTAAGTAGTTTACTTTGTCTCTTTGTGTGAAATACTGTTTCTTCTCTCTTTTTTTCCTCTCTCAATAGTCCTAATTGTCTTTTGTACCTCCTGCCTCTGTACTTACTCTTCTGTCTTGCCTTGTAATCCCATCCACCCTACAAACACAGCCTTGTTGAAGCTGCATTGTGAACGCAGCAGTAGCCAAAAATGTGAAGAGTGTATTTTTGCTTTTGTTTGTTTGTTTGTTTTTCTTGTATGGATGGCAAATGCATCTTCCAGGCTCCTAGGTTGCTAATACAGTTCTGTAAGAACTTAGGAGTTTTTTTCTTGCCATTTTAGTTGGGAAACGCTTTCTCAGCTAAAACTACATTTGTAATATGCTTGTCATCCGACTTGTAGGAGTTGAGTAGGAGGTGGGAAGGGAGGTGTCAGAAATAGGAGTGTGTGAGTATCTGCCATGCCCAGTGGCGAGTAGGAGATTTCACCCTCCAGTCCCCTTTTGTTGTGCATTTTTAGGCTGATTTTTTCCTAGCAAAGTGTTTATTGGCAGCAGCAGACATCCCATATATGTAAGGAAGAAGGAGGAAAGGTATTTCTGAGTCTCACATTTATTTATCTTTCTTTCTGCAGAAACAACAGGAGAAGGAAGCTCTTCTCCTCTTCTACAACAGAACGGCAGAAGCTAAAATCCACTCAGTTGTGTAAGCTGCATGTCATTGCTTCATTCTTGCGTAGTAAAATGTGTTTTTCCACTGAGAACAGGAAAACGGTGCAGGGACATGAAGCATAGCCTCAAGCCAGCTTAGAAAAAATTGATTTTAATTACAATGCACTAAACATTTTCTCCTCTCAGAGTTCCTAGGCTGAACAAGTCTTCTGATTTCATTCCAGATATGGATCTAAACTGTCTTTTGAGCCATCTAAAATTACTTGGTGTTTGGGACTTGGATCAAGTTCCCTGGTCCAGACCCTATTTCAGTTTAGGGAGGGGGGAAGTAATGAAACTAAAAGTATCAACAGAATTTGACAAAACAAACGCTGCAGTCCTGCTGCAGCAGGAACCCTGAGCCAAGAAGCTTATGAGATGGACTGAGCTTTAGTTGTAGCATGCTTTAAGGATGTTACAGCCCCTACTGAAGTTCTTGGCTCTTCCACAGAGCTCACATGGGACCTCAGTAGCAAAAGTTTTCTATCATAAGTGTGCTTTTAAGTCTGTCTTTCCTAGGAATAATTTCCTTCTGTGACTTTCCATGCCCTTGCATCCTTAGCCTTTCTGCTGGGACTACAAAGGAGTTGCTTTAGGTCATATAGCATGACTTTTTAATAAGTAGTATGCTAATAACATGAAAACAGTTTACTTTTCTGCAGTGCTGTGAATGTAGGGACCCGCTGATGTGCACTGCGTGATTTCACAGTCTCAGACCTTGCTGCAGAATTTGCCTGTTTGGCACAGAACTGCACTTCAGAGTCCCAGCGCTCATTTCTGTAGAAGAGTTTCTTCCTTTTATGTTAGTGAACAGTTAGAAGACTTTCTTCATTTTATTTCAGTTGCAAGTGTGAACTGAATATAAAATCATGAAGTGCTGTTTACTTGACTCTCTGGTAGGAACTAGTCCATCTTTTTCTGGGGTTTAGTAGCATTTAAAATACCACTGCCAACTAATGGTACTGTCCTATGATCATCAGCACCTCCCATGTCTTGCCCTTGATGACAGTCTTCCATTGCTTCCATTTGTTAAATGGAATATGGGAATGGGATGTAAAATAATTGTAATATGTTGGCATCTGCTTGTTATACTGAATGTTTGCTTTGATACTTGTTTTAAAATCCAGCAATCCCACTTCTCTCCCAGATTTCTGTGTTAAATGATATTGTCACATAATTGGGGTCTGAACTTCACAAACCCTGGGAACTGTCTGCAAAGCACTGATACATCTTAATACAGCGCTGGAAATCCTGCTTGGTGTTTTCTGACAGTTGCTGCTGACCTAAGCTGTGTTGTATTTAGCAAAGAACTTGGTATTCCTGATCTTTGCAACAACTCTCTTATTCCAAAGAAAAGATGACATTTGTATCATCTGTTCTGATGGCTGTTGCTATAGTTAGTTACAAATTTTAGGCTTATAGGTGTTTTTCAGGCTCCAGTTGACCTGATTGTAACAGAAGTTACTACACAGGAATGGATTCTGTAGCTCTGCAATTAGTCCATGGCAAAAGCCAGATGTTTTCATTTAATTAACACTGTTTATCTGCATTTAAAAGGACTCTTGTTACCTTTCATTGGTCATTAGCCTATATGGATAATTCCTAGAAATAGCTGATGTATTTAGATTGTTAAGCTGTAGTAAATTGTCAGTGTGAACCCTTGCAAGAAAAGCTACTTTTAGGATACTCTGATTCATGCGTTGAGACCTTTTCTTCTAAAATAAAAACAATCCTGAGTAAACATAGGAAGGATAATTGTATACAGATTATCTTAGTGTATTGTGATTGTGCAAAAGTTAAAAATATAGAAGGGCAAATGAGATCATCAAATAAGTATAGATGACTTCCAGTTGATTGGTCTGGGATGTCACATTTCAAGTAGGATGTAATAAATTGATTCTCAGTGATACTCAAGTATAAATGTAGGCAGCTGTCCTGCTGTGGTGAAGAAAAATGAGTGGATTTTCCTGCGATGTCTTTTTTAATCTCTAGGAGACTTGACTTGCTACTTGCATTTTACTGCAACTTTTTTATGCTAGCCTATTTCCTAGTTTCTGTATATAGATGAGCAATATCTTTAAAGTTTGTTGTGAGCAAAGCCTGTATTCTCTCAGCACATAATTTTATAGAGTTTGGGGTTTTTCTCTGTTTTCATGTAGAGAATACATCCTGGAGTTACTGGAAAGTGGGAATGATAAATTCCTGGTGTTTGCTCATCACAAGATAATGCTGGATGCAATAGTTGCAGAGCTGGAGAAGAAAGTAAGTAATTGACTGAGTCGTCTTAACTTTATCATTATTCCAGCTTCAAAGCTGTTTAAGACCTCCCCAGAGTTACGGCTGGTCAGATAGTTTATGAAAGTTAGTGGCAGAGATAATTTCTACTTGCTGTGCTTCTGAATGTGCCCTTCACTGAGGGAGCTGAGCTGTCAGGGTGAATGCCTCACAGGATGCACTTTGTATTAGCTGAATGGCTTTTGTTGTATTTAATGTTCTTTAATCTCCATTGTCTGCCCTGGAGCTTGTGTAATTCTTGGAGGAGTGTTACCCTGTGTGGCTATCTCCGCTTTGTCTTCCAACCTTTCCTCAGAGAGGGAGAATGTAACAACCCAAGTCCAGCTATGGCTGCCTGCCATTATCTCTGTGGTGCTCTTACATTTTTGAACTGGAATACTGTAGGGAGACTTGATAGACCTGCCAGTCATCTCTCCGACTTCACAAGTGTTTGTCTAATTATTCATGTGAGACTTCTGTGGATGCCCCTAAGGAGTTCTGGGTCATGCTGGGGCAGTGTGAAAGATGGTTTAAGTTAATATTCCAAACTATAAACCACAGTGGCAGTGGTGACTTTGCTGCTTCTGTGGCAGCAACCTCCAGTAGAGCAAGGAGGTTGGACACTGAAGAGTTATGGCCCTGCATCACCCAAGCTTGTCATGCCTCTCCTGAGCCTACCACAGAGCAACTGAGATGTGTAGGATCCCATCTCCTCCCATCACAAACAGGGGAAAACTTAGGGAGGTTGGGGAGGTTGTAGCAGCTGTAACATCAGCACACAGACAGTGTTCAGCTTTGTATTAAGCCAGTTGCCTTTCCACTGTACTTGAGTTGCCAGCTTCTTGCTGTCACTTGAGTTGCAGGAAGTTGCTCAGAACTGCTGGGAGAACAATAGATATAAGAGCAAGTCATGCATTGTGAACAAAGGTGAGGTACATTATATGCTGAGCTACAGTGCCTCTGCCTTAAAGATCAGGAAAGGTCTTAAAAATACAACTGTTGGCTTTTTACTTTCCTGGTTCTGCCATGGGGAAGGGAAACAGAATCCACTAAAACATGGGAGGAGGATACGGAAAAGGGGATACAAGGCCTCTAGAAAGTATCTTCTTCTGCCTTTTCACAGCACGTTGAATACATTCGCATTGATGGCTCCACACCTTCAGCCGAGCGGCAGTTTCTGTGCCAGAAGTTCCAGTTCTCAGAGAAGCAGGTTGTGGCCGTCCTGTCCCTTACTGCCGCAAACATGGGCCTGACGTTGTCTGCTGCGGACCTGGTGGTGTTTGCAGAGCTCTTCTGGAACCCCGGGGTATGCGTCCTGGAGGGACAAGGGTTGGATGCTCCCTGGAGAGCAGAAACATTGGTGCTTAGGAGGAGACGTAATGGGCAGGGGACTTTATCTAGGGTTTTTCTCTTTCTTTCTCTGATGGCTACTTGTCTGTGCACCCCCAGGTGCCTGGGCTTGAACCAGTGAGGCTGATTACACAGCTTGCTGGCTGGAGAAGACAGTGTGAAAGGGAAACATGCTCTTGTTTCTTAATTTGACAACCGCTTCTCAACCGCTTGCCCAGCCAAGACCTGAAAGAGTCCATCATCAATGCTGACCCTTTACTTACGAAAATGCTCATTGCCTTTTGGGAACATCATGCACCAGATTACTTCTTGGCTTAATCTGTGTTTGAGCATGCAGTTGTTAACAGGATCCAGATGAAAAATAGTTGCTAAGCACAAGAAATGAGATCTCCCTGCTCTCTGGTGCTTACACTGTTTCTTAGATGTTGCAGTTCTCACCTTATTTTCTTTGTCATGTTTTTACATAAAGGTTTTGATTCAAGCAGAAGATCGGGCACATCGAATTGGACAGACCAGCTCTGTTAATATTCACTACCTGGTGGCTAAAGGCACAGCAGATGACTATTTATGGTAGGAAGTGGGAAAGATACTTTGGTTCTTCTGCCACCTGTTTTCACTGTTTGTCACATATGTGATGTAAGGTGCTTAATGTTAGAGCTGATTTCCACAGCCTATGAGATGAGGAGCAACAACTGCCAATCAGGGCTGCTGTGAGCTGGTGACATGGCCTGGCCACAGTGGACATAACTAAGTAGATGACAAGCAGGAGGAATAAAAGTAGTTATCTGAAAAAGAAAGGACTGTTGAGAGAAATTCTGGGAGAGTTGATGCATCTAAAAACTTCACAGCCTCTGTGTAAGAAGAAGGAATTGTCTTAGATACAGCCCAGAACATTTGTGTGCTGGGGTACTGTAAAGTGCTGAGTACTTTCAAGCAAATTCAACAGACACTAGAGATGGTTCCCTGTATTGTGGATCAGGTCTGAGGAGCAATCTGGCTGCTGAGTGCTTGGGCAGGGAGCTGTGGAGGAGGACTGCACTGTTGCTTTCCTCTTGCTTTTCAGTGAGCCCTTCAGATAAATTAAAAAAGTGCTACTGACCCACCTCTGGAGAGTTGCAGTCTGAGCCTTTTTGGCTGCAGTGAGAGCTATGGGTGGACACTGGTCCTTAGGGCTGGGGAATCTGACATCCTGGGGAAGGGGAGGGTCTAAGGAATCCTTAGGGCTGCAAGGGAACTGACCTATCATTATCCACCAGCTGGTTCATTTAAAGTTCAAAATTGCATCTTTATTACCTTGTTTAAAGGACGAATGAACTAAGTGAACTTGTGCCATTCCCAGAATATCATGATGGCAAATAATTATAACCCTACAATGCAGGGATCTGGAAACTGATGCATCGCCCACGTTTCATGGAAAGTTAATGACAGTAATTCTGCCTTTATTTGTGAAATGCTGTCCATGCAGTCATTAATGCTTAATGGGAAGGAAATATGGCTCTTCAAAGAAGGACAGTGGCATCCTTTTTAATGGCGAGAAAAAGAACAAGACGACAAGGCTATTTGGTAAATGCATTAATTGTGCTGTGGCCTTTGCTTCTTGAAAAGTATCCAGTCTGCAGGTGTGGTTGGGACCTCTCCGCCTCTTGAGCCAGTGATAGATTCTTCTTCCTGCCATACATCGGGATATACCCTAGAAATGCTGATGTGTCTGTTGATGGGGATTACCATTGCTTACCTTGGAGACTGAAAACACAGGCTATTGGAACTCCCTTTAGCTACATCTTCTTGTTCTGACTTCATACCATTGGTGTTGCCTCAGTCAACTAGTTTCCCTGTTGGATATGTGTGTTCTCCAAATATTTATAGCCTGAAATCCTCTTCTTGTTACTTACTTAAATTGGATTATGTGGTGGGTTGACCCTGGCTGGACGCCAGGTGCCCACCAAAGCCGCTCTATCACTCCTCCTCCTCAACTGGACAGGGAGAGAAAATAGAACAAAAGGCTCGTGGATCGAGATAAGGACAGGGAGAGATCACTCAGCAATTACCATCACAGGCAAAACAGACTCAACTTGGGGAAACTCGTTTAATTTATTACTAATCAAATATGAGTAGGATAATGAGAAGTAAAACCAAATCTTAAAACACATTCCCCCACCCCTCCCTTTTCCCTGGGCTTAACGTTACTCCCAATTTTCTCTATCCCCTCCCCCTGAGCGGCACACAGGGACAGGGAATGGTGGTTGCGGTCAGTTCATAGAATCGTTGAATGGTTTGGGTTGGAAGGGACTTTAAAGATAATCTAGTTCCAACCCCCCTGCCTTGGGCAGGAATGCCTTCCACTAGACCAGGTTGGTCAAAGCCCCATCCAACCTGGCCTTGAACACTTCCAGGGATGGGGCATCCACAGCCTCTCTGGCTGTGGGCCTCTCTGGGCAACCTCTTCCAGTCCCTCACCATCCTCACAGTGAAGAGCTTCTTCCTTACATCTAATCTAAATCTATGCTCTTTCATTTTAAAGCCATTACCCCTTGTCCTTTCACTACATGCCCTTGTAAAAAGTCCCTCTCCAGCTTTCTTGTAGGACCCCCTTTAGGTACTGGAAGGCTGCTACAAGGTCACCCCAGAGCCTTCTCTTGTCCAAGCTGAACAACCCCAACTTGCTCAGCCTCTTTTCACAGGAGGGGTGCTCCAGCCCTCTGATGATCTTTGTGGCCCTCCTCTGGACTTGGTCCAATAGGTCCATGTCCTCCTTATGTTGGGGGCCCCAGAGCTGAACGCAGTACTCCGGGTGGGGTCTCACGAGAGTGGAGTAGTTCATCGCACGTTGTTTCTGCCGCTCCTTCCTCCTCAGGGGGAGGACTCCTCACACTCTTCCCCTGCTCCAGTGTGGGGTTCTTCCCACAGGAGACTATTCTCCACAAACTTCTCCAACATGAGTCCTTCCCACAGGCTACAGTTCTTCATGAATTGCTCCAATGTGGGTCCCTTCCATGGGTTCACAAGTCTTGCCAGCAAACCTGCCCCAGCATGGACTCCTCTCTCCACGGGGCCACAGGTCCTGCCAGGAGCCTGCTCCAGTGTGGGCTTCCCATGGGGTCACAGCCTCCTTTGGGCACCCACCTGCTCCAGCATGGGGTCCGCCACGGGCTGCAGGTGGATATCTGCTCCACCGTGGACCTCCATGGGCTGCAGGGGGACAGCCTGCCTCACCATGGTCTTCCCCACAGGCTGCAGGGGAATCTCTGCTCTGGCACCTGGAACATCTCCTCCCCCTCCTTCTTCACTGACCTGGGGGTCTGCAGGGTTGTTTCTCTCACATATTCTCCCTCTCCAGCTGCAGTTTCTGTTGCACAGCTCGTTTTTTTTTCCCCCTTCTTAAATCTGTTACCCCAGAGGCACTACCACCGTCGCTGATGGGCTGGGCCTTGGCCAGCAGCAGGTCCGTCTTGGAGCCGGCTGGCATTGACTCTGTCAGACACAGGGGAAGCTTCTGGCAGCTTTTCACAGAAGCCACCCCTTTAGCCACCCTGCTACCAAAACCTTGTCACACAGACCCAATACAGATTGATATTTATGTTGGATTGATTGATATCCCAAAGCAGCATACAGTCATCACAAACAAGAGCAGGACAGGTTAAGGACCTAACTAGCTTTGGTAGAAAAGCCATTTTATACCCCTGTTATATCTTTTTTCCATCTACACATAGTAAATGACTCAGTGTCCTTGCATGGTTTTTTCTTCCTTTCAGTACTATCTGTTTATCTCTCCTAGGCCAATGATTCAAGAGAAAATCAAAGTGCTGGGGGAAGCCGGTCTTTCAGAAACCAATTTCTCAAAAACAGCTGAATCCACTAATTACTGCCCTAAGGTAATTGACCTGAAAGAATATCGATGGTCCCTGGGAAAGGCTGAATAGGCTTTGGCTTGTGTACATCTAGACTGGTAGGTGGTTGGCAGGCTGACCTTATGCCTGTTCTGCCTTTAATACCACAGACCAGATTCTCCAACTCCTCCCAGGAGCCATGCTTTGACTTGGACTCTCCACAGAGTTCCCAAACCTGCTGCATGCAAGGAGACATGATAGCCTCTATAGCATATATATGTCTCTGAGATATATGTATGTATGAGATATATATATATATCATATGATACATGTACACACATGCGCACTGTGTCAGGGGGAGGACCCTGTTACTGTTGCTCACTTTTTTTTTAATATGACAATGTATATGCAGATTCTGTCTGTTCTAATTTCTCAGCCAGATCCAAAGCAGAAGACCATCTACGACCTTTTCCAGAGGACCTTCTCTGAGAGCGGAGGTGACACTGATGAACTTTTGCTTTTGGAGGCAGCTGATGCTTGCTGCGAGTTTGACTCTGGCAGTGCCTTGCAAGATACAGAAGGAGAGACATGTCCAGTGAGTCCCCCCAAAAAGCGGCGTATTGAGGAGTTTTTTAAAGTGTAATGGTGACAGCAAAAGAGGTGGTGGCTAAGAGATTATTATTTTTTTAATTAAAATGGGAAAACAAAAGCAATCAAGTATTATCTTTTGAGTTTTCAAAAATAAAAGACTTTAAGTTTCCTGTATCTCTAGTGCATTTCATCTCAAAGGATGAGAAGGCAGTCTGACAGATGTGTGACAGATGAGCAGCGCACACCTGGCAGTCTGCAGGTTTTGCAGTCCTGGTTTTGCTGATGACTGAATGGCCATGGGCAAGTAGCATGCTGCTTTGTTTCAGCATGTCAGCCTCCACAGTTGTTTTGTTTAAAAAGCAGATAATGGTTGTCTGTCCACAAGGTAGAACTGTTGTGAAAACTAGCTTCTCAGCAGCTGCAGAGTGCTTTTAACAGTCAGTTTTCCAAGAATTTTAGTCTGGATTTATAGGAGTTGGTTCACTGGCAAAATTTGGCCCTTAGCTCATTCACAAACTGGTGCTCTGGTAGTCATTTTGGCAGTGAGGAGAAAAGATCCAGACAGATCTTGAGGTTTTGTGGAGGTGGGGGAGAAGAGAAAGAGCCCCAGATTTTTGTCTGTGCAGAGCAGTCAGTACCTTCAAACTAAGAAGTATAACTGTCTGCCAGGAGGTGTGTATTGCCTGTTAGGCACATGTCTGCCTGAGCACACTGATCTCTGGCCTAATCTACTAAATCTTATGACCTGCTCCAGGGTATGTGCTTCTTGTGTCAGTGGAGGGTGAAGCTTGTGCTGACTACCAGGGATTAAGCCTCGCTGCTCAGGAAGGGGGCGTGTGTGTTTTGTTCAAGGCTCGAAACCGATTTCCACAGTTGAGTGAGGAGAAGGGGACGTGTGGACTTTTGCCCTTGTTTTGTAAGAAACCGACTCTGAACTGAGCTGTTTAAATAAAAAGTTGTTTTAAGTCGTGGTTCCCAAACTTTTGGTACTTTTTTTATTTTAGAATTTTATCTCCCATTTGGACCTTCAGCTTGAGAAATATGTGATGCAGTGGAAATACCAGTGGGTTTTGGTTTTGTTTTTTTTTTTAATATTTACAGTGGCTGAAAGATAGGTCTTTTTGGGGATGCTTTCTCTTGTGCTTTCCTAAATGCATCAACTTTCAAAAGGGAAACTCCCATGATACTTTGCTTGTAGATGAATCAACAGCTACTTTCCTAAGGCATTTAGGCTGGTACCCTAGCACCTGTTATTTGCTCCCATTACAGCTCTGTGCAGGTTACACTGAGAATGCCAAAAGCAGCACTGTTGCTTGATGCAGTGATTAAAATGCCTGTTTTCAATTTGTGATAGTCTCTGTCATGCTCTCAGCCCTGTGAACTGGGAGACCTGAACTCCCAGCCCCAGTGCTGCCTGAGCAAACCTGCTCTTTGGTTCCTTTCAGGAGCTCGTGACACAGTCGCTTTCCCTTGGGCATGGCCTGATTCCACTTCATGGTGGTGATGCCGCTGCAAAAACTATAGGCCAGTGCTGATGTGGGCTTGATATAAAGGTAGGTGGCTGTCTTTATCACAGCTGGTCTCTTCAGGCATCTCTGCATGGTCATCTTTAATTTTTTGTGTATTATTGCCAGTGCAGTGTAGCATGATCCCAAATTACTGTCTTTCATGCTTCCAGTCTTAGTAGTAAAATATACTTGGAAACAGGATGGTTTAAGCAAATGTGACCAGGGAGTACAGGAGAAGATATAATTTCACAGGGGTACCACTTAGCTATGTTTTACAGCCATAATCTGTAGAGAAGGGTGGGGAAAAAGCAAACTGAAAGCTTACATTTAGCTTCTGGAGGCCAGGAGCTAACGTGCTGTGCAGGTGGCACGCTTGGCTGTGGGCAGACACTGACAAAAAAGACTTTCTTCCACAGTCGAGGAGGAAAAAGTATGTGCTACAAGATCAACCTGATAATAACTAGGATATTTTTTCCTGCATTCAAGGGTTTGATTATCCCATTTTCAGCAAGTGTCGTCATGGAAATGCCCTACAGGCTGTGTATGCAATTGTGCTGAGTGGAGACTTGCTTTTCATTCATGACTGGAGAAAGTGCTTTGGTGTGTGTGCAAGTGAAGAGGAGTAGGACCGAGGATTGTGTGACTGGCCAACTGGAGGAAATGCTTTATCTCTGGATTTGAGACTGAGAACTAAACATTTCTCTTGCTCCAGCTGCTGGCCAGGAGATAAATACACACTTTTCGACATTTTTAAAAGTCTCTCTTTCTTGAACACAGAGTATTTAATCTGTTTCTAAGACACGTGATCTTTCTACTTGCAGAGAGGGTTGTTCTGAATAAGGGGTGAGAAATGTTGCTGTCTGCCTACCGAAAAAAATATGGCCGATATTATTTGTATACCTATATTGTGGTCTCCTATGGGAGTAATTCTCTTCCTCCTTGTAAAGCTACAGCTACTTCAAAACAGTATTTTTCTGAAATCTGCTGAAAGTACCCTTGGAGAATTTTGCTTCTCATAAACTCAATTTATCTTAT